GCAGTAGAGGTTTACAAGTTTTAAAAGTGACAGTCCTTCTCACCTGGGACACATTTACCTGATAAACAGTCATTTTTTTTCTTTTTCTTCACTTCTCTGGGATTTCTTTCTTTTTTGAGTCAGAATCTTACTCCATCGCATGCTCACAGCCACCCCAGCATTGACGTGCTGGGCTCATGCAATCCTTCTGCCTCAGTCTTCCAACGAGCAGTAACTACAGGCAGAACCATACTCAGCCAATTTTTGAAATACTGTAGAGATGAGGGTTTGCCAAGTAGCCTAGTCTAGTCTCAAACCCAGGAGCTCAGGCAGTTCACACAATTTGGCCTACCAAAGTACTCAGACTACAGTTTGAGCTACCGAACCCGGCCCTCTGGGCTTTCTTTTCAGGTGAGAAGATCTGAACAAGTCACATCTACATGTTGAAAATATGCCTTTATTTATTTTAAAATTAAATTGAACGTATTTATTTGTTGTTAGAGTCTCACTCTGCCACCCAGGCAGAAGCGAAGTGGCACCATCATTACTCACCAGTCTTGAACTCCTGAACTCAGGCACTTCTTTCATCTCAGCCTCCAAATTAGCTAGAACCACAGGCCTTTGCTAATACTCCTGGCTAATTTTCTAAAAATTTTTAACAGTGACACGAGTAGGCTATGTTATAACAGTTGGTCTCAAATTCCTGGGCTCAAGCATTCCTCTTACCTCAGACTCCCTAAGTGATAGGATTACTGGTATAAGGTATGACCTGGAGCCAGAATATGCATTTAACATAAGCACAATTCTTTCCTTGCTACCACCACACCCATGGGGCGGGAGTCGAGAAAGGAAGAAAGAGTCTACCTTTCTTTGTCTTTTGTCACAGGAGACAGATTAAAAAACAATGAGCTCATGCAAGAAGTGCAAAGTGTGACTTTATTCTTTCCTTCCCCCAAGTGCCCTCCCTTGTCACAAACACTGGCAATTTCTGCTCCAGCAATAAATTTATTGCCCCACTATCTTACCTGACTGACCAAACCCAAGCAGAGCAGGACAGGTGACCTCCCTTCTGAACTCAACTTTCACGAACATATCTGGCAACCCTCAGTTTGACAATGTCTCCATGTTAGAATCACGTGGGTGATAGCTGGGCACAGTGGCTTATGCCTGCAATTCCAGTACTTTGGGAGGCTGATATGAGAGGACTGCCTGAGCCCAGGGGTTCGAGACCATCCTGGGCAACTTGGCAAGACCACATTTCAGCAATAAATCAAAAACTGGGTATGGTGGCACATGCCTGGAGGCTGAGGTGGAAGTATTGTGGATGGCCAGTTGGTCGAGGATGCAGTGGCTGTGAGTGTCCCACTGCACTCCAGCCTGGGCATGATAGACAAAACAAAGAAAACCAAAATCATTATTTTTAACAAAGAAAAACCAACAAAAATACCAACAATGAAACAACAACAATTCTGTCTGTAAATGCTCTCTTAAGCAGTAACATCAGAACTCAAAACAACAACAAAAAGCCAAGCCCTGGACACCTCCTTTTTTTGTACTGACCACATGGTGCTCATTCAACTGTTAACCATTTACAACATATGGCAGTTTCTGGAGTGTAGGGACATTGACCACTTGATCTGTTTTTTCTAGTAACTTCATAATATGGAGGTAACTCTGTTATCTACCAGTGTGTTTCTCCAGATCTGCTCTTTATTGTTTACCCAAGTAACAGGAAACTGGAGACAATCCCATCTGGGTATATTCATTCTTGGTCTATGGAGAGTTATATTCTTATTACTTAACTCAGCATTAAAAAATAATTTATTCAAAGTATGAAGCTGGGTGCGGTGGCTCAAGCCTATAATCCCAGCACTTTGTGCAGCCGAGTCAAGAGGATTGCCTGAGCCCAGGGGTTTGAGACCAGCCTGGGCAACATTGTGAGACCTGTCTCTACAATAAATAAAATTAAAAAAAAATTAGCCTGGTGTGCTAATGTGCACCTGTAGTTCCTGCTACTTGGAAGGCTGAGGTGGAAGGATCGCCTGTGTCCAGCAGGTTGCGGCTGCGGTGGCCGGGAGTGTGCCACTGCACTGTAGCCTGGGCAAGAGAGTGAGACTCCAACTCAAAAAAAAAAAAGAAAGAAAGAATTATCGGCTGGATTTGGGAGGCCACGGCGAGAGGATCACATGAATCTGTGGGGTCAAGACAAGCCCCGGCACCTTGGCGCGCCCTCCTGTATACAATAAATAAAAAAAAATAGCTGGGTGTGGTAGTGGGTGCCTGTAGTTCCAGCAACTTGAAAGACTGAAGTGGAAGTATCACCGGAGGTCAGCAGGTTGATGCTGGGACGGCCGTGAGTGTGCCACTGCTCTCCAGCCTGGGCGATGTAGTGAGACTCTGACTCAACAAAACAAAACCAAAGTGATGTATGTTTTCATACACCTCTGAAATTCAACAATTAATCTATCACACTTTCTGGTGGCAATGTATTGATTTCCACAGCCATAATGAGAAATTATCCCTCAACGTTGTGATGGAGCCTCCGTGTTAACCTGGGGAGGAGAGAGGAGGGACCGGCACCAGTACCCCAGGCCCTCCCTCCGCGGGCCCTGCACGTGGGTCGAAATCTCCCCATGAATTTGCAGGTCCCGAACACGTGGACAGAGGGGTCGTGTGGAGAGGGCTTAGCGGGCGAGGTCACGGAGAGTGAAGGCCCCAGGGTCCCAGACTAGCCTCACCTACACCGAGGGGACTGTGCCCAGATGCTGGCGGGGATGGCTTCTCCCTCGGACCTGAGAGGGGCCGGTCCCGCCACAGCCCATGTCATCCGAGTCCATCTTCTTCCCCTCTCGGGGCACTCCCGGCATACGCACCTTCTCCTAGCTTCCAGATGTCCCGGCGTCCTCTCCAAGAACTCCCACGAGCTTCAGGTTACAAGGCAACAGAGGCTAAAGCGAAGTCACGCGACACGCGTGAGTCCCGCCGTCAGGACGAAGCAGAAAGGACGCAGGCGTGGGAGACAAAGGCCCTGTCTGAGCTCACAAGCCGCCCACTTACTTCCGGCTGTCGCCTGATAGGCCAGTTTAGCCCTCAGCTTCCGTTGATTGGACAAGATTTCCAAGCCCCGCCCTTCCGGTCTTAATTGACAGGAGCTGCAAAACGAGAGGGAATCCATAGGCAAAAAACGTCATCGCTGCTCTGTCTCCCTCCCCAGGCCTGCATATCTTTGCTTCAGGCTGTGTCGCCCTGTGATTCGTAGGACGCTCAGACACTCGGAGGCGGGAGATGGTGAGTGTGCGGGCGGCAGTCCTGAGGGGGGGTGGGGGGATGGGCCTGAATGACCCGGCTATGGCGGGACCGGTCTCCCCGTCAGCTCCATGCCTGAACCCATCCCCGCCGGCGGCTCGGTCTGGACCATTCGGTGTAGGTGGGCCTGGGCGCGACCCCGGGGTCTTGACCCCGCAGCGACGTGGCCTGCTGAGCGCCCGCCTTGCAGTTCCCCACCTCCAAGTGGGCGGCAACCGGGAGGGTCGTGGGGAGGGTCCGATCTGTGGGGGGGGTCAGTGGGGGGAGGGGAAGCAGTGGTCCTGGTCCGGTCTCGCTCTCCTCCCCAAGGTTAAACGGCGGCTCCGGCAGAGCGTTAAGGAGTCCCCTTGGGCCCAAAGCGGGTCGTGAGTCCAGAAACCCCAGCCGGGACTCGTGGTGTGGGGATCCCGGAGGGCCTGGGGGGAAAGACTTGGAGAAGGGGCGAGGGGAAGCCGGCCAGGTGCAGGTGCTGGTGGGTGACGGCCCCGCATTCGCCTTATCTGAATTATCTGGGTGGAAATCTCCAGGGTCTGTCATCAGGGTCGTTGGCTGTTTGTGTCACCAGGTCCAAACCCAGTTCTGTCCAGATAAAGATTGGGAGGAGGGGCTGTGACTTTATTTAGTCGGGACATTAAAACGGAGGAGATGAGGGATCGGCATTCTAAAGACCCCTCCAGTGTCCTGTGAGCGTTTTTAAAACTTTTATTCATGCTGGGGGACAGAGGAGGGCCAAGATCAAGAGGTGGCTTAGACTTGCAGAAATCTGGGCCATTAGAGGAGTCCTGGAAAGTAGTGAATTCTCGGTCCTTAGTTTACAGTCTCCTTGTTCCTTTTATTTAACAAAACAGAGTTAGTGCACATACTCCCACTTTCCCAGAGTTAGTCTGGACTGCTGCATACTGGTGCCAACCTTGTCAGCATTTCAAAATTATTTTAGCTACATGCAAACACACAAAGAGGCCAGACTCCCTCTCCACCCCTGTCTAAAATGGGGTTATGTCAAACTTTTGATAGTTGACTATCCCATTTGGGGTTAATTAAGTTTTATATTTTTAAATTAGTAACTTTCTTTTGTTTGTTTGTTTGTTTGTTTTTTTCCTGAGTTGGAGTCTCACTCTGTTGCCGAGACTGGAGTGCAGTGGCCGCTCCCGGCCACCGCAGCCTCGACCTGCTGGGCTCCGGTGATCCTTCCGCCTGGCTCATTTTTTTATTTATGGAAGAGATGAGGTCTTGCCAAGTTGCCCAGGCGGGTCTCAAACCTGCGGGCTCAGGCAATCCACTCACCTCAGCCTCCCAAAGGGCTGGGATAACAGACTGAGTCACCGAGCCTGGCTCAAGTAGTAACTTTCAAGAAATCTATTTTAGTTCAGCGGCTGGTTTCTGTATTTCTGTGTACTTTTAGACGCATCACTGTTCTTGAGAGGAAAAGGCAGAAATGATGTCTGTCCTCTGGATTATCTTGTGTTTGTAAAGAAAGAAAACTATCCCAAAGGAAAAGGTAAACCCACTTCAGGGAGACGGTGGAAGAGTCCACAAATCAAAGAGAACCTCAGGCAAACAGGAGGGCAAGCAAGGGGCTCCTGAGAGGGTGGTAAGGCTCTGACAAAAATAAATACATTCAATTTAATTTTGAAGTAAATAAATGCATATTTGCAACATGTAGGTGTGACTTGATTAGATAATCTCACCTGAGAAGAAATCCCAGAGAAGTAGAAGAAAAGGAAGAAATGACTGCTTCTCAGGTAAATATGTCCCAGGTCAGAAGGAATGTCGTGTGTAAAATTTGCAAACCAGCCAGGCTCAGTGGCTCAGCCTGTAATCCCATGCCTTGGGAGGCTGAGGTGAGTGGATTGCGTGAGCCTGCGGGTTTGAGACCCGCCTGGGCAACTTGGCGAGACCTCATCTCTACAATAAATCAAAAATTAGCCGGGTGTGGTAGCGCACGCCTGTAGTTCCAGCTACTTAGAAGGCGGAGGCGGAAGGATCGCCGGAGCCCAGCAGGTCGAGGTTGCAGTGGCTGGGAGCGGCCACTGCACTCCAGTCTGGGTGACAGAGTGAGAGTCCAACTAAAAAAAAAAAAAAAAATTGCAGACCATCCTGCTGTCCTTGTGATAGTCCTGCCTAACGAGTTGGCTTCAACTATTTTTGTTCTTCTTGTGATATTCAGTGGGTCTGCCAGACACTACTCCCTACATAGACTCTTCTGTTCTCTTCAATCACACTGTTTAGTGACCATGAAAAATTCTCACCATGAATGTATGACCTACAGTGTTAAAAGTGTTCCCTTGTGGCTGGGAATCATTGGAAGGCAAGTTATCCAAGAATCCCATTGGAGATTGGTTAGATACTCAGATCCTAGGGAAGGATGGAAATATGTATTTTTTTTTTTTTTTTTTAGTTGGAGTCTCCCTCTCACTCAGGATCAAGTGCAGTGGCACACTCATGGCTACCACAGCCCAGTAAATTTTTTGATTTATTGTAGAGACGAGGTCTTGCCAAGTTGCACAGGCTGGTCTCACACCCATGGGTTCAAGAAATCCTCTCACCTCGGCCTCCCAAAGTGATATGATTATAGACATAAGCCTCTGTGCCTAGCCAGAACATGTACTGTTAAGGTTCTGTCTAGATGCTCCATCCACACCATGCAGAAAATAGTTAATAAAATGTACACTTAAACAGGATGGCAGGTACCACACAGAATAACACAGGAAAGTCTAATAAAGAATAATTAGAAGAGATTTGCTCTCTAGGTTGCTAAAAGCAAATAATATAAATACACTGTTAGAGATTACATGCCATGGGAGATACATGTAAGCTGATTTCTGCCTAACACATGTTTCTTTGTTACTAAATTGAGATTATAAATTACTACATTGGGTGGTGTGCTGGTTCAACCTGTAATCCCAGTACTTTGGGAGGCTGAGGCGACAGACTTGCCTGAGCCTGGGTTTTGAGAACAGCTTGGGCAACTTGGTGAGACCTTGTCTCTATAGTAAATTACAAAAACTAGCCAGGCATGGTTTCATGTGCCTTTAGTTCTAGCTACTTGGAAACCTGAGGTGGAAGGATTGCCTAAGCCCAGCAGATCAAGACTGCAGTGGCTATGAGGTCCAACTGCCCTCCAGCCTGGGTGACAAGAGTCAGATACCGACTCAAAAAATAATAATAAATTACTATAACTTTTGGGCAGAATATCTCACCATGGATGTTGTGTTGCATCCATGCACCTTGGCATCTGATACCAATTTGTCCCAGATACTTGGGATGTTCTGGAGGATGCATTCTTTCAGCCCAGGAGATTGAGGCTGCAATAAGCTGTGATTATGCCACCACACCCTAGCATGGGTAAGAATGAGACCCACCAACTAAAAAAAAAGTGCAGAACCTCAGGCTAAATCCATGTCTTCTGAATCAGAATTTGAGTTTTAACAAAGTATTCAATTCATTGCTGTACACATTAAAACTTGACAAGGACTTTCCAACTCACTAGGAGCTTTCCATCTGAGCAGCATATGCAATGTATTCTGTGTGATGTAAACATAGCAATGAAAAATGAACATGCCTGTGATGCTGTCCCTCTTTATGCTGTATCGTTCAAAAAAATAGAATGTCAACACTGACTGTGGGTATTTTATTTCATCCTTTTTCTCACACTTAATGCATTAGAGGTTATTTCTGTGTTACAAATTATCTTATTGCATAATTCCAGTTGTCATATCATCTGGACCCTGTTCTCTTCACTCTTGCTTTACCTAGAGGTCATGGTGACTTGGTAAATATGTATTGTTGTTGTTTTCAGGGGCTGTTGACATTCAAGGATGTGGCTATAGAATTTTCTCCAGAAGAGTGGGAATATCTGGATCCCCCACAGCGAATGTTGTACAGAACTGTGATGTTAGAGAACCACAGAAACCTGGTTTTTCTAGGTGAGGAAACTCTTAACACACAATCTATATTTCATACTAAGGATTTTTTTTTTTTGAGTTGGAGTCTCACTCTGTCATGCAGATTGAGTGCAGTGGCCGCTCCTGGTCACTGCAGCCTCGACCTGCTGGGCTCTGGCAATACTTCCGCCTCAGCCTTCCGAGTAGCTGGAACTACAGGAGCATGCTACCACACCCAGCTAAATTTTTTTGATTTATTGTAGAGATGAGGTCTCGCCAAGTTGCCCAGGTGGGTCTCGAACCCGCAGGCTCAAGCAATCCACTCACCTCAGCCTCCCAAAGGTGTGGGATTACAGGCTGAGCCACCGAGCCCGGCTCATACTAAGGATTTAATGTCCTTCCTTTATAGAATGTTTTCTGGGAATTTCTGCTTTGTGTGAATGAGTTTCAGATTCCTGCTATCAAAGAAAAGTTGGTGATTTGTTGACATAGAAAAGAAAAAATTAAAGATGTTTTATTTTGACATGAAGCATTCTCTATTTTGAATTGACCAGTATCCTTCTAGCTAATTATTGGTAAGTTCAGAAATTTAGTGGCATAGATATCATTGCCCACATCTCATTCCAATTGCTGTGAAAGTTATTGACTCAATATTACTGAACTAAGAACTCACAAATTTAAGACCAGGGATGGTGGCTCAACCCTGTAATGCCTGAACTTTGGGAGGCTGAGGTGAGAGGATTGCCTGAGCCTATGGGTTCAAGAACAGCCTGGGCAACTTGGCAAGACGCCATCTGTACAATAAATTAAAAAACTAGCTGAGTGTGGTAGCACACACCTGTAGTTCCGGCTACTTGGAAGGCTGAGGGAGAAGAATTGCCTGAGCCCAACAGGTGAATGCTGGGGTGGCCGTGAGCTTGCCACTGCACTCCAGTCTGGGAAATGGAATAAGACACAAACTCAACAACAACAACAAAATAAACCCACAAATTTAAAATTCTATCTAAACATTCTAAAGATTTTATAGGGAAACAGTATTTGGGGATTAATTTTCTAGAATCTTGTATAATGTGTTCTCTACTGATCACAATACCAGGTTTGTAATTGAAGAACCCCAGCAAGAGTCATGTTACTTTTTTCTAATTAAACAGGACTTGCTGTCTCTAAGCCAGATCTGATCATGTGTCTGGAGCAAAGGAGAGAGCCCTGGAATGTGAAGAGTCACAGTAAATTAGCCAAATCTCCAGGTAGGTGGGACTAAAGCAGATGACAAAACTCGAGGAATCAAAGCTTGAAATGTGGTTTGGGAAGGTGGTCTGCTCCAATGGAAATGGTTTCACAGAAGCCTGGGATTCTTTCTCTTGCTGTCACAAAGGAACATCTATTTTTTCATGTTCTGAAATTCTCCAAAACTCTGCTTCTTCAATGATCTTTCAAGTTTGCAGAGGAAATCAAAGTCCACTTTTTTTTTTTTTGAATTGGAGTCTCACTCTGTCGCCCAGACTGGAGTGCAGTGGCCATTCCCGGCCACCACAGCCTCGACCTGCTGGGCTCTGGTGATCCTTCTGCCTCAGCCTTCCTAGTAACTGGAACTACAGGCATGTGCTACCACACCTGGCTAATTTTTTGATTTATTGTAGAGATGAGGTCTCGCCAATTTGCCCAGGTGAATCTCAAACCCGTGGACTCAGGCAATGCACTCACCTCAGCCTCCCAAACCATGGGATTACAGGCTGAGCCACTGAGCCCAGCTTCAAAGTTCACTTAGTGGTTTGTTAGGGACTGCAAGATCTGGCTATATTTCTGATGGTTTTAGAAATAAATAAGCAAATATCTGCGTATTTATTTGGAAATCTGTGTCAACTATTTTTTTTTTATGTTTTCTTTTTGTGTCATGGTGGGAAGTATGTGAGAGGAATTTTAAGAACTCTCCAGACACATGTAATTTGTATTCTACTTTATGATTTTCTATCTGAGGGAGATTTCCAATGATTTTGTTTAAATTCATACTCCATAGTTCTACCAAAACACAAACTATCTCTCTTAAAAAAAGAAATTCTGTTATTTTACTTTAACTTTACTTTTATAGTATGATCTGAGACTGGTAATTTTTCTGTATATCCAGATGTTTAAGGATAGTATATCACGTAGAGGATTGGTAAACATATATTAAACTCCCACATGTTACCTTTTGTCTTAATAACTCTTTTTTTTACAATTTTGCTTTCTGTAGTATGAAGCTTAGGACTAGCTTATATATATGCATATATACGAATACACATGTATGCATGTTTGTGTATGTGTGATAAACATCTGATTTTTTAGACATAAATAAAAAATGTAGCCGGGCTCAGTGGCTCAGCCTGTAATCCCGTGCCTTTGGGAGGCTGAGGTGAGTGAATTGCCTGAGCCCGTGGGTTCGAGACCCACCTGGGCAACTTGGCAAGACCTAATCTCTACAATGAATCAAAAAATTAGCTGGGCATGGTAGCGTGCACCTGTATTTCCAGCTACTTGGAAGGCTGAGGTGGAAGGATCTCTGGAGTCCAGCAGGTCGAGGCTGCAGTGGCCGGGAGCGGCCACTGCACTCCAGTCTGGGTGACAGAGTGAGACTCCAACCCCCCCCAAAAAAATATAACCATATGTTGTGAATAATATAATAATTTGATATGTGTATACACTGTGAAATGATTACCATTATGTTAATGAACATATCAATCATCTTATGTAGTTGTCATTTTTATGTTTTGTAAGGCGAATACATAATGTCTTCTGTTTTAGCAAATTTTCTAAGCATACGAGACATCATTATTAACTATAAGTCACTATGTTATACATTAGATTCCTAAAATTCAGTTATAATTAAAATTTTGTAACCATTGAAAAAATCTCCATTTTTCCCACCTGCAAGCTCTGGTGATCACATTGCACTTTCTTCCTCTATGAGTGCAATGTATTTTGGTTCTACATGAGTGAGATCATGCAGGATTTATTTTTCCCCGATTTGGAGTCTCACTCTGTCACCTGGGCTGGAGTGCAGTGGCGTGGTAATGACCACCACGGCCTCATTGCTGGACTTAGGCGATCCTTCCATATTAGCCTTCAAAGTAGCTGGAACTACAGGTGTGTACTGTCATGCCGAGCTTATTTTTTTCATTTATCATAGATATGAGGTCTCACCCAGGCACTCAGACTGGTCTCGAACCCCTGAGCTCAGGCAATCCTCTCACCTCAGCCTCCCAATATGTTGGGATTACAGACTTGAGCCATTGTACCAATCCTCACGCAGTATTTGTATGTGTGTATCTGGCTTGCTTCAGTTATCATATGTCTTACAATTTTATCCTTAAGGTTGAAATTGCCGGATTCTTTAAAATTTTTTGGCTGAATCATATGCTGTGTATATGCAGGTTCTTTTCTTTCTTTTTTTTTTTTTTGAGTTGGAGTCTCACTCTGTAGCCCAGACTGCAGTGTAGTGCCATGCTCTTGGCTACTGCAGCCTTGATCTACTGGGCTCCATCAATTCTTCTGCCTCAGCCTTCCAAGTAGCCAGAACTACAGGTGTATGCTACCACGCCCAGCTAATTTTTGATTTATTGCAGAGACGAGGTCTTGCTAAGTTGCCTGGGCAAGTCTCAAACCCACAGACTCAGCCTCCACTCACCTCAGCCTCCCAAAGTGCTGGGATTACAGGCTGACCCACTGATCCTGGCCAGGTTATTTTCTTAATCAACTCAGAAATCACAAATATTTAGGTTGTTTTCATTCTTGGTCATTTTGACAAATGCTGCAATGTACATAGGGTTTGGATACTTCTTTTTGATACTGTTTTTATTTCCTTTGGTTATATACCCAAAAAAGGGATTTCTGTGTTCCATGGTAGTTTACTTTTATGTTTAAGAGAATGCTGATAATGATTTTTATATGATTCTACCAATTTTAAACTCACCAAAAGTATACAGGATTTTATTTTCTTCACATCCTTTACAAAAGTTCTCTCTCTTCTAGTTGATATTAGTCATCCTAACAAGTGTGAGATAATATATCATCATTGTGTTTATTTGAAATTGCCTCTGTTGGTGATGTTCAGTGCTGTTTCTTATACCTGTTGGCAATTTGTATATTCTCATTGAATAAATAACTATTCATTTTGGCACAATTTTTTAGTCAGGTGATAATCATTTTCTTATTTTTTTCTTTGATTTGTGTAATTTTTTTTGAGTTGGTGTCTCACTCTGTCACCCAGATTAGAGTTTAGTGGCACGCTCCCGGGCACCACAATCTCTACCTGCTGGGCTCTGGCAATCCTTCCACCTCAGCCTTCCAAGTAGCTGGAACTACAGGCATGTGCTACCATGCCCAGCTAATTTTTGATTTATTGTAGAGATGAGGTCTTCTCAAGTTGCTCAGATGGGTCTCAGACCTGCGGGCTCAGGCAATCCACTCACCTTGGCCTCCCAAAGTGCTGGGATTACAGGCTGAGTCACCGAGCCTGGCCTGTATTTTGTATTTTAACATCTCATCAGGTATATGGTTGCAGATATTTTCTCTTGTCCTGTAAGCCTTCTTTCTGTTCCCTTTGCCATGCAGAAGCTTTTTATTTTGATGTTTCTAACTTGTTCATATTGCTTTTGTTCCTCTAGTCATAAAAAAAAATGATTACCAAGACCAATATTATTATCAGGTATGTTTTCAAAATCCTTGTTAAGGTTTTATTTATTTTGTGAGTCATGGTCTCTGTTACCCAGATAGGAGTGTGGTGGCTTAAGTAAGGCTCACTACAGCCTTGAGCTCCTTGGCTCAGGTGATCACTCCACCTCAACCTCCTGAGTACTGAGATTACACATTGGTGCCTCCATGCCTGGCTATTTTTTGTTTTTATTTTTCAGGCACAAAGTCTTGGCACACTGTATATCCTAGGCAGGTCTTGAACTGCTGGGCTCAGGTGCTGGGATTACAGACATGAGCAACTGCATCCAGCTGATACTGTCTTATTTACATTAACATAAATCCACAAGATTTGTCCTTACCATAACACATGACAAGATTTCTTTCTTTAAAGGTGCCACATTTGCTTGGTCCATTCATTTTCTTAGAGGACATTTAGGTTGCTTTCACCTTTTGTCTTTCATCAGTAATACTGCCATAAACATGGATGTACACATTTTTTCATGTTCCATTTTGTATTTTTGGATAGATACCCACACGAGGATTTCTGGTCACAGGATAATAATATATTTGGTCACTTTTTAGGAGAAGTTTTTACTTCACTGATTGTTTCCTATCATGAAGATTTTTTAAAACTTTGAGTCATTATTTTTGTGCTTTTCATTGTTGCTTATTATTTTAGTGTCTTCTAATGAAGCTTTGCCATGACCAATGTCTTAACATCCATCTTATATGTGGTTCTAATAAATTTATAGTTTTTGCTTTCAAACATTTAATTATTTTGGATAGCTTTTTGTACATGATTCAAGAACCCATCTTTATTTATTTATTTTAAGTTGGAGTCTCACTGTTGCCCAGACTGGAGTGCAGTGGCATGCTCCCAACCACTGCAGCCTTGACCTGCTGAGCTCCAGCAATCTTTCCACCTAGTCTTCCAAGTAGCTGGTACTACAGGCGTGCGCTACCACGCCTGGCTAATTTTTAATTTATTGTGGAGATGAGGTCTCGACAAGTTGCCCAGGTAGGTCTCCAACCTACAGGCTCAGGCAATCCACTCACCTCAGTCTCCCGAAGTTTTGGGATTACAGGCTGAGCCACTGAACCTGGCCTTTTTCTTTATTGGATAGTCAGTTTTTCAACACCGTTTTTTGAAGAAGCTTTGCTTCCCCATTGTGTGGCCATGCCAACTTTTTAAAAATTATTTGATTGTATTCATAAGGATTCCTATTGAGGTTTTCCATTTTGTTCCATTATCTATCTTTCTGCATGCCAGTATCACATGTTTTTATTCTTGGAACTTAGGCACATGTTTTAAAATCAGAAAATGTGATACCTGTACCTTCTCCTTTATTGCTAATGTTTTCTTAGGTATTTATAGTTCCTTGAGATTCTATGTAAATTTAAGATTAAAAAATATTTTTTCTTTTCTTTTTTTTTTTTTTTTTTGAGTTAGCGTCTCACTCCATCACCCACCACGGCGTTGACCTGCTGGGCTCTTGTGATCCTTCCACCTCAGCCTTCCAAGTAGCCAGAACAACCGGCATGGGCTACCACACCCAGCTAATTTTGATATATTGTAGAAATGAGGTTTTGCCAAGTTGCCTGGACTGATTTCGAATCTACAGGCTCAGGCAATCCATGTGGCTTGGCCTCCCAAAGTGCTGGGATTACACCAAGCCCTGTAAAGAAATATTTTTTTCAAAGAAAAGTATCACTAAATTATTCATGGAAACTACATTAAATTTGTATTTCAATGTGGGTAAAGTTGACATATTAATGATAATAAATAAAAATAATCTTCTGACTTCTGTTGAGTTGGGGTCTCACCATGTCTTTCATGTTAGAGTACAGTGAAGTGGTCCTGACTCAAAACACCCTCAACCTCCTGGGCTCAGACAACCCTTCCTCTTCAGTCTACTCAGTGGCTCGGATGACAGTCATGTGCCACCAAGTCTGGCTACTTTACTTTTTATACTTTATGGATCGAAGTCTTGCTTTGTTGCCTAAGTTAATCTCAAATTCCAGGGCTCAAGCAACCTGCCTATCTCAGCCTCCCAAGGTACTGAGGTTACATGCATGAGCTACCACACCCAACCTAAATCTTCTGCCTCTTGAGAGTGTGTGCTTACCGTGCGCATATTTTTTGATTTTGTTATTTTTCTTAAAATTTCAATTTTGTTTTATTTTCTTATGGTGATAAATAAATATATTGTGTAATTTCAGTCTTTTTCTTTTTTTAGTTTTAGTCTCACTCCATCACCTAGGCTGGGATACAGTGGCACACTAATGGCCAGCAAACTGTCAACTTGCTAGGCACTGGTGATCTTTCAGCCTCAGCCTTCCAAGTAGCCAGAACTCCAAGCATGTGCTACCACACCTGGCTAATTATTAATTTTAGAGACAAGTCCCGGAATATAAAGGGAGAGAAGAGCATAATCACATATAAATGGGTACTTCTGCCAGTACACAGATGAGAGGTCCAAATGCCCATGAAGAGCTCAGTAACTCAGCCTGTAATCCCAGCACTTTGGGAGGCCAAGGTGAGTGGATAGTCTAGGCCCACGGGTTCAAGACCAGCCCAAGCAGCTTGGCGAGACCTCATCTCTACAATAAAATAAAAAGTAGCCAGGTGTGGCCATGCGCGCCTGTAGTTCTGGCTACTCAGAAGGCTAAAGCAGAAGGATCACTGGAGCCCGGAAGGTTAACGCTGGGATGGCCATGAGCATGCATGCTACTGCATTCCAGCCTGGGCAAAGAAGTGAGACTCCAACTCAAAAAAGAAAAGAGAGAAAAGAAATTTTTGCTGTAGGTAAAACTAAAACATTGCCAAGCATGTAATAAAAATTGTGTTGAAGGCCGGGCTTGGTGGCTCAGCCTGTAATCCCAGCACTTTGGGAGGCTGAGGTGAGTGGATTGCCTGAGCCCACAGGTTCCAGACACACCTGCACAACTTGGCGAGACTTCACCTCTACAATAAATTAAAAACTAGCTGGGCATGGTAGAGCACACCTGTAGTTTCAGCTACTTGGAAGGCTGAGACAGAAGGATTGCTGGAGCCTAGCAGGTCAAGGCTGCAGTGGCTGAAAGCGTGCCACTGCACTCCAGTCTGGGCAACAGTGAGACTCCAACTCAAAAAAAAAATTTCTTGTTACCTTTTGTCCTTTAAACTATCATTTTATAATTATTTTTGCTCTTTTATTATATGACTACTAGATCTAAGTTATCTATTTTTTAGTTTTTAATTTGCAGTAGATTAATTTACATATAATATTAGGTTTAAAAAGGTCTAAAATATATACTTGAATTTATGTATCGTGGAAGAGGTGAGTTAGATAATGAGTAAGCCTTCCATTTTGTTAAATATTTATTTATTTTTGTTTATTGCTTATGTTTTAGTGGTATGTGCCGCTTGCTACTTGCTTATTTCAATTAGAATAATCCCCTCCAGATTTATCCTACATGTAGATACTGTAAGATATCCTGCTGTTTAAAGGGTGGATAATATTCCATTGTCTGTGTATTCAAAATTGTCTTCTGTGATGAAAGGTGTTTCACTTGTTTTCAGTTGTGAATAATTTTGCAGTGGATATCGGTGTGAAAATAGCTCTTCCATTTGAATCTAAATGCAAGGATTTATTTCTCTATTTTTCAGTGTAACTATCTGCCTTATGACAGCACTAAACTGTTTCAACAACTGCAGCATTTTCATGGACCTTATAGGTTTGATGTCAGTTTTAGGGTTACTTGTTTTGTATCTCTGGAAAAATTAACTTGGGGAATTTGTCAAAAATTATGTTGAATATGTTGATCACTTTGGTTAGTATGCATACCTTCCCAGTCATGTGTTTGCCACAACTCAGGATATTTCTTCTGCAGTGCAGCCTCTCACAACACCAGCTGAAACACAGATGCTGATGGGCTTTTAGAACATATACATGGTGTTCAAAGTTTGTACAAGAAGGGGCTGGCTCTCCAGAAAGATAATTATGGGATATTTTTGTGTTACCTGTATCTACTATTTGTAAAAAGTTATAATTAATTCTGTGATGCTTTCTAGAATGTTTAATTTTCAATAAGAACTTCCATTAACATTTTTTTGTGGGGGATGTCTAGTGATTAAATTTTTCAGTTTTTGCTCATTTTGAAAAGCTTTTTTTTTTTTAATTTTGAAAGACAGTTTTGCTCAACATGGTATTCTCAGTTTGTAGCTTTGCTTCTTTAGCATGTTTGCTGTGTAACCCAAATTCCTTCTGGCCTGAAACATTTCTACTGAAAAGTCCAGTGATAATGTCATTGGAGCATCATTGTATATAATGCATGAATTTTTTTCTCTTTGTTATAAGCATCTGTTTTTGTCTGTGCCTTTTAAATCTTACTATTTTTTAGTCAAGTGTCTCAATCTGTCATCCAGGCTAGAGTGCAGTGGCACACTCAGAGCTACTGTAAACTTTGCCTGCTGAGCTCATGGGATCCCTATACCTCAACTTTCCAAGTAGCTGGAAATAGAGGTGTCTGGCACCATTGCCAGCTATTTTTTTGATTTACTTTAAATGCAAGGTCTCAGCATGTTTGCCAGGATGGTCTCCAACTCCTTACTCAGGAAGTTCTTTCATCTTGGCCTTTCAAAGTGCTGGAATTACAGGTGTGAGCCACCACAGTTAGCCTAAAATATTGATAATAGTTTGTCTGACTATGTGTATATCCTACTTTGAGTTCAATAAACTTGTTAATTTTCCTATTTTTCTTCACTGCTTTTGAAAATTTCTCAGTCTTTTAAAATTTTCAACTCCACAAATTCTAATTTTTAATATTTTAAAATTTATATCGACTTTTTTCCTTTTTTGTGGTTATCTGTTTTCTTTTTAGCTTATTAAGTCTAATTAAGTTGGTTTTTTTGAATTCTTTGTCAGGACCTATGTATTTCTCCAATTCATTGGGGTTGAATTCTGGATTTTTCTTGTTATTGTACCCCTAATTGATTCCTTTATGCTGATTCTTTGTATGCTCTGGGATACTTTGTTGGAGTCTGGGTTTTGAATAAGAGATACTTGTCATAATGTTTATGAAGTTGCTTTGTCTAGATAAGTGTGGCACTGACACTAAGTTATAGATTCTGGAAGTCTCTCATACCTGTCTCAGAATGTGTCTTCTCTGGCATTATGCATGTACTCTTCCAGTTAAATAGTTTGACTAAATTTCTTCTGAAGGGCTCTTTGGTCTCTCTAGTGTTATAAGAATAATTTTCCTTTAGTCTCAACAGGTGCAACCTGTTATCCAAAGTATACCACCATCTTTTTCAGCACCGTATAAATTGAGAGAAAACCAGCCTTTGGGAAAATGCCCAAAGGGTAGAAGTGTGGACTCATGCTCAATTCTCCTGATTATTCCCTGAAGAAGAAACCAAGAGTTAGAAGTTTTCATCTGTTTGCATCATGCTGTATTGTGAAGGAATAGATATTATGCTGGCAAAATTACTAAACTTCCTCCTCCATGTAAATCTTTTTAACTTTGTGCTCACTGGGAATTCTGAAATGTCTTACCTGTTTTTTGAGTTCTCACAAAGGCATTGTGGAGAGTATTAATTCTTAAGTACATATATGTATGAAGGAGTAGAAACTTGTGACTTTATTTCTTGCCATCATGCTTATGTCCTTATCATGGTATAATATTATGTTTGATTATCTAGTATGTGAAATAAATTTTTATTTTCATGATTTTCAGCTGTGACTTCTCATTACACTGAGGGCCTTTTGCCAGAGGAGAGCATAGAAGAGTCACTTTCAAAGGTGCCAATGGGAAGATATGGAAGGTTTGACCTTAAGGATTTACACTTAAAAAAATCTTGGGAAAGCCTGCATGAGTGTGAAGGACAGAAAGGATGTTCTATTGTAGATAACCACTACAAATGTAACAAGTGCGGGAAAGTCTTTCATCAACACTCCATATTTGCTATCCACCAGAGTATCCATATTTCTGAAATGGCTTCCAAACATGAATATGGCAAAATGTTTAACCATTCCTCAAAATGTAGACAACATCCAAAAAATACTGGAGGAAATGTACATAATATATGTGGGAAAGTGTTTAGAAAAACATCTTATCTAAATAGACATGAAAGAATCCATAGGGGAGAGAGAGACTTCAAAAGTGAAGAATGTGGTAAAACCCTTAGCTATTACTCATGCCATTCCAAACATCAGAAAATTCATACTGGAGAGAATCTCTATAAATGTGAAGAATGTGATAAAGCCTTTACTTTGTATTCATATCTTATTCACCATCAGAGAATACATACTGCACATAAACCCTACAAATGTCAAATATGTGACAAATCATTTCATCAGTACTCAAATCTTATTCAACATCAAAGATACCATATTGGAGAGAAAACCTACAAATTTGAAAAATGTGGCAAAGCCTTTCACACACATTCAGACCTTGCTCAACATACTATAATCCATACTGGAAAGAAAGTCATTTACAAATGTGAAGAATGTGACAAAACCTTTCGATCTCATGCAGACCTTGCTCGGCATAAAATGATCCATACTGGACAGAAACCCTACAAATGTGAAAAATGTGGCAATGCCTTTCGTTGGTACTCATGTCTTATTCGGCATCAGAGAATCCATACTGGAGAGAAACCCTACAAATGCAAAGAATGTGGCAAAGTCTTTTGCTCTTACAAAAGATTTGTTAAACATAAGACCATCCATACTGGAGAGAAACCATACCGATGTAAAGAATGTGGCAAAGTCTTTCCTTGGCACTCAGGTCTTATTCGACATCAGAATATCCATACTGGAGAAAAACCCTACAAATGTGAAGAATGTGGCAATGCCTTTCGCTGGTACTCAAGTCTTCTTCAACATCAGAGTATCCATACTGGAGAGAAACCCTACAAATGCGAAGAATGTGGCAAAGCCTTTTATTGGTACTCAAAGTTAATTGACCATCAGAGAATCCATACTGGAGAGAAACCCTACAAATGTGAAGAATGTAGCAAAGCTTTTACTCGGTACTCAAGTCTTATTGAACATCAGAGAATTCATAGTGGAGAGAAACCATACAAATGTAAAGAATGTGGCAAAGCCTTTCGCTGGCACTCAGGTCTTATTCGACATGAAAATACCCATACTGGAGAGAAACCCTACAAATGTCAACAATGTGGCAAAGCCTTTCACTCTCACAATGGATTTGTTATGCATATGTGGATCCATACTGGAGAGAAATCCTACAAATGTGAAGAATGTGGCAAAGCCTTTTACTCTCATAAAGTATTTGCTGAACATAAGACCATCCATACTGGAGAGAAACCCTACAAATGTCAAGAATGTGGCAAAGCTTTTACTCGGTACTCAAGTCTTGTTGACCATCAGAGAATCCATAGTGGAGAGAAACCATACAAATGTAAAGAATGTGGCAAACTCTTTCGTTGGCACTCAGGTCTTATTCGACATGAGAATACCCATAATGGAAAGAAACCCTACAAACGTCAAGAACATGGCAAAGCCTTTGGATCTCATAAAGTATTTGCTGAACATAAGACCATACAAATGTAAAGAATGTGGCAAATTCTTTCATTGACACTCAGGTCTTATTCGACATGAAAATAGCCATAATGGAGAGAAACCCTACAAATGTCAAGAATGTGGCAAAGCCTTTCGCTCTTACAATGGATTTGCTGGACACATAATCATCCATACTGGAGAGAAACTCTACAAATGTGAAAAATATGATAAAGCCTGTTACTCTCATATACAATTTACTGGACATGTGAAAAATCCACATTGAGGAGAAACTATATAGATGAGAAGAATGTGATATAGCCTTTAGTTCTCATTCAATAATTGACTTATGAGTATCTATATTTATGTAAACTGTGTAGATGGGAAGGATGGGGTAAAACTTTTCACTGTTATTCCATGTTTTCTCAGATCAGATAACTTATACTCTAAATTTTCAGTATCTGTAATGACTGTAAAATCATGTATCAAGATATGAAGTATACAGATATGTTGAGAAATTTACAGATGTAAAGAATATCATATCTTTACTTAATACACTAATGTTTTGAATGCACAAATGTAAAAAATGTCTAAAGCATTTAATCAGTGAAAACTTTATTTGGCATTAGACTGAGCTTTGAAGATAATCTACAAACTAAAAGAATGTGGACTGAATTTTGTTCAACATATTTGCCATAGGAAATACTAGGGTATTCAGACTGAAAACTTTACAGATACAATTTATATGAAAACTTTAAAAATGAAAAGTCTTCTTGAAATAAACATCAGATATTGAATGCCATTAGAAGATTTTTTTTTTTTAAAGAAAGCATAAGTATATTCCTTGTATAGTTTTGTTTTTGCATTGACAGAATTGAGGATATTTGGAAAAGCAAACGGTATTGCTGTAACTCAACTCACTTGATGCTATGCCTTCATTTCTAGTGTTTATGTAAAAGCATAGTGTCAGTTGTTGCTATGTTAGAACTGACAGACCCTTATATAATAAATGACCAGCAGTCATCTCATGTTTTTCATGGAGGGTGAGGAACACTGATATGTAATCTCTATGAAAAGACCTAAGTGGAGAGGTTTTTTTGTGGCTCACTTTGAGTGTTACTGTAAGTTCTGCATGATGTGAGTCCTCAGGATAACAGATTTTGAAACTGGAATAAATGACAAAGAAACATTGAGAGTTTTAAAAATCAGTTGCTTTATTAGTTACTTGTTAAGGAGAAAATGAGGCCTGACCATCAATATCTTGAAGCATCTTTATAGTATCAATACTTACAAGCCTTAAGTGTAATTTGATATGGTATGAATAAGAGACATTTTCATAGACATCAGAGCAAAGATAATTGTTCTCTTAAAATGTATATGTTATAAATTTATGTTTAGTAAAAACGCAGATTCAGTTTTGAAAACTGATCAAAGCTGTTCACACATGGATCACACTATCAGAAGAACAGAAACACTTGAATGTTTGTAATCCCTTTTTGCTAGCCAGTATACGGTGACTTTGGAATGTTTATTAGGCCATGTAAACATAATTTCATTTAATGAACAGGATTCTTTTTTTTTTGTTTTGAGTTGGAGTCTCACTCTGTTGCCCAGACTGGAGTGCAGTGGCCACTCCCGGCCACTGCAGCCTCGACCTGCTGGCCTCCAGTGATCCTTCCGCCTCAGCCTTCCGAGTAGCCGGAATTACAGGCACACGCTACCACGCCCAGCTGATTTTTTTATTTATTGTACAGATGAGGTCTCGCTGCCCAGGTGGGTCTCGATTCTTTATAAACCATTAACAACTGTTGTCCACACAGTAAGTTTTTTATGCTGCCATTGGTTTTAATCTATTCTCTCTTACTCACGATTACAGGTAAGTGATGAGCATACACTATTGACTAACTTATGGAATGATGTCTCTCATGGTCCCTTTTTTGTAGGTTTTATATATATAATATATATATTTTTAGTTATGTATCATTTTCATTATTGTATTACAGATTATACAGAAATATAATTATATGACATATCTTTCTGAATCCTGATTATTGTAAGAACTTATATATCATTATGTACAAATTGTACATCACTGAGGTTACCATGCACAAGAAGACTTGTGTGTATTATTTACACTGAATGAAATATAAAAAAATTATCACTCTAAGGCTAGGAATACAAGTGCTAAATAAGAGGAAGTTGAGTTCTTGTGTTTGAATATATGGCTAGTTTGGAAAAGACACTGTTGGAACAAAATAAATAATTTAAGATCTGAGATAAATCAGTTTTATCTGCTTCACATTCAATTTATTCCACTAATATCTAATGGCTACTAGTTCACAATCTTCCCATGGACATCCTCTTTTTGACTTGACTTGCAAGGCTGTGTTCATAAGGTGACCATTTTTTAGCTTACATAGAAACTTCAATAATTTTTTTTTTGAGTTGGTGTCTCACTCATTTGCCCAGGCTGAACTGCAGTGGCACACAAGCTCAGTCTCCCTAGCATCAACCTGCTGGGCTCCAGCAATCCTTCCACCTCAGCCTCCCAAATAGCTGGAACTACAAATGCACACTACCACACCCAGCTATTTTTGTTTAATTTTATTGTAGAGACAAGGGCTCACCAGATTGCCCAGGCTGGTCTCGAACCCATGGGCTCAGGCAATCCACTAACCTCAACCTCCCAAAGTGCTGGGAATGAGCCACTGAGGCTGGTCAAGAATTTTTTAAAATGTAATTGAATGGTGTTTGAAAGCACTGTGAAAATATAATTCATAGAGTATTTAGTTACTTTTAAAACTATATTTTATATTTCTCCACAACTAAAGAATACCATTGAATAATGTTGGTGTTGTTCTTCTTACTTTGTATTTTATATATATATATTTTTTTTTTTTTTTTTTTTGAGTTGGAGTCGCACTCAGTCACCCAGACTGGAGTGCAGTGGCTGCTCCCGGCCACCTCAGCCTCCACCTGCTGGGCCTCGGCGATCCTTCCGCCTCAGCCTTCCACATAGCTGGGACTACAGGCATGCACTTCCACGTCCGGCTAATTTTGTTTTTTTGATTTATTGTAGAGATGAGGTCTCGCCTGCCCAGGTGGGTCTCAAAACTGCGGGCTCAGGCAATCCATTCACCTCAGCCTCCCAAAGGTTTACTTTGTATTATTAACAATTTTTTTTATCTGCTTTTGATGAGGCGTGTGGGGCGGTTTTGGCCTTCAGACAGGGAAATATTATGTTAAAGTTTAACAAAAATAATTAGCATTACTTTAAACGGAAAGTGATTTTGTTATTTATCCTATGTTGTATTAGTAATCCTAGTGCCTGGAAGGAGATTTTAAAATCATTAGCAACTTGGCACTGAAAAACACTGTAGGCGATAACCTCTGTGAGAAAAATCTTTTTTTTTTTCTTTTTGAGCTGGAGTTTCAAGCTGTGCCCCAGACTGGAGTATGGTGGCACGCTCACAGTCCCCACAGCCTCGAATGGCTAGGCTCAAGTGATTCTTCTGCCTTACCCTTCCAAGTAGCTAGAACCACAGGCATGCACCACCATGGCCGGCTGTTTTTATTTATTGTAGAGATGAGGTCTCATCAAGTTGCCCAGGCTGGGCCCCAAACTGCTGGGCTCAGGCAATCCTCTCAACAATTGATTTTGATTGACTTTACAGGGATAATTTGTTCAGTGAAAACTTAGGAGTGTTTATAAATGTAGGGATTGGCCAGGCTCCGTGGTTTAGCCTGTAATCCCAGAGCTTTGGGAGGCTGAGGTGAGTGAATTGCCTGAGCCTGTGGGTTTAAGACCAGCCTGTCTCTACATTAAATCAAAAATTAGTTGGGTGTGATAGCACACACCTGTAGTTCCAGCTACTTGGAAGGCTGAGGCAGAAGAATCTCTGGAGCCCAGGAGGTCAAGGCTGCAGTGGCTGGGAGCATGGCACTGCACTCCAGTCTGGGTGACAGAGTGAGACTCCAACTCAAAATGAATAAATAAATGTAGGGATTGTTTTAATTTGTGTTTTATTTTTGTATTTTTTGACATTCCACAAAGTAAACAAACACAAAATAGTGCTTGATATGTAATAAGTGCTCTAAAAAATGAAATAAATGTTCCTCTTAGAGTGAGTTTTTGTCTTTATGTAAGAGACAACATTTTCAGAATGAAGAAACTGCGTTGTTGTGGATTCGACATAAACAATTCACTAACATATTTTGTATATTATGCATATTATATGCAGTATTCTTATAATAATGTAACTGAAATAGAAAAAGAAAAGTGAATACTGCATGTTCTCACATGTAATGAGAACTAAACGCTGGGTACGCACAGACATAAAGAAGAGACTGGTAGACCCCTGAAACTGGTGATATGGGAAGTAGCCAAGTGTTGAAAGACTGCCTGTTGTGCACTGTCTGCAGTGTTTTGGTGATGGTTTCAACAGATGCTTAAACTTGACAATCACACAATATATCCATGTAATAAGCCTGCAGAGGTACACCCTGTATTGAGAAGAAAAAGAGAGAAAATCCTAAAGGAGAAAAAGTTTCTTTACTGTTCATTAAATGAAAGCAGGTTTTCATAAAGTACTTCTCCCTTGCCATCTTCACCAAAAGAATTTGAGGATGAGGTGGAGGTGAGCATGAACAGGAGGGTCTGGTCTCACTGTCTTAGGTGGGATATGTGGAAAAGGTGGAGGAGATAGAGAAAAGACAAGAGAGTTGGGACACCTTGTGTAGCTAGACAGAAACATATCTTAATTTCTGTCTGGTGGTTTTACATTTTCATTTTTCTAAAAACGTGATAAAAATTGGTACATGATACCAATTCTGCATCCACCATTGGCTTTAGTTTGAGTACCCTATTGTAATGGGGCCCTGTTACAAATGAAGCCAAAAGCAATCTCTAATCTCTGAACCCTTCTGCCAGCTTGTGTAATGCCAATGTGTTTCCTGGCATTGATGCTTTTTTTATTTTTTTGAGTTTGGAGTCTCACTCTCTTCCCTAGGTTGGAATGCAATGATGTGCTCGTGGCTACTCAGCCTGGAGGTCATGGGATCAGGCCATCTTGCCCCTCTAGCCTCCTGAGTAGCTGATGCCACAAACCTATGCCACCTCGCCCAACAAATTATTGGATTCATTGTTAAGACCATGTCTCACCAAGTTGCCCACCTGACCTGGAAGCCCTAGACCCAGGCAGTCCTCTCTTCTCTGACCCCCAAACTGCTGGAATTATAGGCATGAGCCACCATGCTCAGCCTCTTGTTTCTTTTCCAGTCACCTGG